TTAGTTTTCTTGAGCTTTCTTCCTCTGTGAGCCACTTAATTTTGAATTAGCTGACATGTGGGAGTGAGGTTCTATATATCTTAAGGTAATTGATTTCTAATGTGATATTCATGCAGGAAATATAGCCTGCATGATTTCAAATTTTAAAAAAAGTAACGGAAATCCTTTTTATATTGATTGTATTGGTTGCATATGTGTCAAAACATGTCAAAACTGATCAAATTGCATACTTCAAATATGTGCATTTTATTGTACTTCAATTTTACCTCAATATAGCTATGAAAAAAAGAAAGGAAAAAGATCAATGTTTATCAAATTTGTAAGAATATGTCAATGAGAGAAGACTATGTCTTCAATAACCTTAAAGTGTATTCTTTAAAAAAAGAAAGGAGAAAATGAGTTAAAATATTTACAGCATAAACATTCAAACTAGCACATAAAAACTTGCATCAAATAACCTAAAAATATTCATACCTATTAACCCAATCTTCCTACCATTGGCAATGTAGTCTAATAATCCCAAATGTATAAAATTGTGAATGTGTACTGCCACCTTTATTATAATAGTGAATATCTGAAAGCAGCCTGGAGCTAAATAGGAAAAGTTAAACGCTTTGTGGTAATTCTTTTCAGTGGGTTCACTATTTACAAATGAGTGCTTCCATTTCCTTTCTTGTCACCGGGATTACTACTCTCTTTACCCTACTGCTCTCTGGCATCCAGAGTTGCCCTTCTCCTGCCTGCCCTTATACCACTGCCATGGTGTTTCTCTAAATCACAGTTTTGTTCTTGATATTTCTCACTGAGCATATTCCCACAATTTCCYTCAACCTTCAGGAAAATTTTAAATTAATATTCTCTGAGCCCTTGAATAATCCAGCTCTACCAATTTCTTTAGTTTCTATATCATACCATTTTCACACAAAAACACTGTCTCCATCTATTCCAACTATTTTTATCATTCCTCAGATCCACATTTCCTTCTTGTGTAGGCTCCTATTGATTTTCTGGCTTATCTCAGGGAGAGCATTATCTACTTTTCCAGACACAACTAAAAAATTAACCCTGTGGGTAATTTGCTATAGCCATCCCACTCAAAKATGATTAATGTTTTATTTGGGAGGAGGAGAGTGATAAATAAATCTTTTTTCTTTATTCAATTTTTACTTATTTTAATTRACAGGTAAAAAATCATGTTTATTGAGTACAAGTAATTTTTTGACATATGTATACATTGAGAAATGGTTAAATAAAGCTRTTTAATATATGGCAAGTTGCTTCACATATTTATTCTGTGGTGAGGATACTTAAAATCTCCTTTCTTAGCAAATACAAATTGTTTTTTATTAACTGTAGACACCATGATGTACAATAGATCTCTTGAACTTACTCCTCTTATCTAACTAAAATTTTGTGTYGTTTGATTAACATCTTCCAAGTCCTTCTACTTTTCAGCTTCTAATAACCTCCATTTTGCTCTCTGTTTCTATGAGTTCAAATTTTCTACTTTCCAGATGTAGTAAGAAGTAGTATTTGTTTTTCTGTAAAAAATAAAGTTCACTTTTTAAGTGGCAGAATCTGAATTTAAACCTAATTTTAAACCCTTGATCTTTCTTCTCCAATAAGGTGAGAGTTGTAAAGCTTCTGATTTTCTCTCGAAGGATGGGGGTTGCTCTAGTCAGCTCTTTCATTGCTGTAACCAAAAGATCTGTCAAGAACAACTGGCAGGAAAAGTTTATCTGGGGGCTCAAGGTATCAGTCTTTGGTACGTAGTCATCTGTCTCCATAGCTCTGGGCCTGAGATGAGGCAGGACATTATGGTTTAAAGAGTGGCAGAGGGAACATGGTTCAGGACAAGGTAACAAGAAAGCAGAGAGAGCTCTGCTTGCCAAAGACAAAATATAAACCCAAAGGCACAACCCCAGTGACCTGTTTCCTCCAGGTGCATCCTATCTGCCACCCGGTTAATAGCTATCAGTGAATTAATCCACTGGTTAAGTTATATCTCATGATCTAATCATTTCACCTCTGATCTTGGATTGTTTCATGAATGAGCTTGTGGGTGACAACTCATATGTAAACCAACACAAGGGTGCTCAACTGAGTAAAGATATCCAAGACTAAAAGTCTAAGGAGACGTAGGTACAGCAGACAATGATAAAGGACCTATTCAGGAAACAAAAGTGTAACAGTAGAAGGTAGTATTTTAGATGTATACTTGTGTATAACATTGACTACATGAAATAGGAATCAAGTAAATGTTTTCTAGTCAATGGATGAATAAATGACTGAATGACAACCAGGCTCACAATTTTGAAATATGAAGCTAGAAAGCACATTTGACTCAGATCTATCCTTCATTAAACTTTCTAAATAAGATTGTATTGAATGTCTGGCAGGACCTGATGGCAACTTAAGAGATTAATGTAATCAAAACAACTTTATTTTGGATAAACTATTACATGAACTCTTTCAAAGTGTTCTCTGGAAAAGCTTAGAGAAAGAGTCTCGAACTTACCCCACTTCATAGTTAGGAAACAGCAGATTTCAAATCTGTGGGGTTTAAACTGTCCTTTTACTTATTTCTTCATACTACTTGCAAACTTAATAGGGAAAAAAATGCTGAAAATGAAAGATGTTGCCTTTTGATTAATACTAAATGCTAAACACTCTTATTAAAAAGGCAGCAAGAAATTCATCACTTTTTAAACTTCACATTTCAAGTGAGAGTTCAATAGCATCTCTGTCCTTTGAGGTGAAGCAAAGCACAAAAGGAAAATCCAAGCAAGCATCTTGGATATTACAGAAATCAGAATTCTACTTAATACAARGGGCTCAAAATTGGCTGCCCTATCTGTGCAAGTGTCCAGGTTCTCATCCCAAGCACAGCTGTAGAGGGATTAGGCAGTCAAATGTCATGGGAAACCTGGATAATTTCTAGTTCTACTTCCAACTTTCCAACTTTTCAGTCTTCATCACTTTTGCAATAAAATATCCAATCTGACAGATTTTCACATCTATTCAAAAAATATAGAGCAATTATCATTAATAAGGGCCTCTGTGTGAAAGAAATGCCCAGATGTGAATGATGTAGTTGCTCCCACGTGAAGAGCTGTGGATCTCACTTTCATTCCCAACAAGCTGTCAAATGGGCAGGAACAGCACCCCTGGGAACAAGGCCAGGCAAAACCTTCAGGAGGAAATTTCATTCAAGGAAAGTATATCTAACCAACAGTTTCAGAGAAAGCAAAAACAATTTTATAAAAATCTAATACCAAGTAATTTTCATAATAGGAAGCTAAAGTTAAAGGAAGGTGAAATAATAAAGGAAGCAAAAAAAGTTTGATCATTTCTTTGGGTCTGGTGCTTGGGCTGGTTTTACTCAATGTTTTCATAAGTGAACTGAAATTTTTCAAAGAAATTAAAATTTTATAGCTAAAAATATATGTATTTGASTATGTGAAATCAGTGTAATTTGTGAAGGCTTTGTAGATGGGAGGAAAAGTACTTCAAAGGCAAGAAAAGATATGTAGGAGAAAATTAAGTATACATATAGTATGTAATATGCATTTATGATAATGGGCTCTGTAATACAGTGTGGAAAAGATTTAACACATTATAGAACCATCAGTGAAGATATTAACTAATGAGATGTTGCATATAAAAATACTAGGCCTCATCAAAAGGAATATTTTTAATAGGAGAGGAGAAGGTGTTCTATCCTATTAAAAAATATAATGTGCATATAACTCAAGTATTAAATATAGTTCTAAACATTGTACCTAAGGAAAGCCTTACTGGGCTAGAAATTTAGATAGATTTGTTTATTTATATAATCATTTATCACACATAATTATTAGCAGAGGCAAATAAAATTCTATCATGTAAAGAAAAAGTGTAAACCTAATTTTGCAAAACTGAACACTTAGTGGGGATATTACTGGTCAGTATAACCGAATAAAGCATTTATGAGGAATGGCTCCTTTTCAATTGGTGTTCAGTATTCCAAGCATTGTTCTAAGCCCTTAACTGTATTAATTAAGTCTCTTCCAATACTATTAATATTCCAATGAAACACAGAGAAGTATGAAAATTTGCCCCACATCACACAGCTAGTAATCAGTGGAACCAAGATTAAAACAAACCTATTTGAGTTCAAGGAATGTGTGCTTAACTACCACATATGAAACGCAAATATAATTTTTAGCATTAAGAGTTCTTAAACAGAGTCCTCCTGAACTGAAAGTAGGTAACAGAGTTAAATAAAAATAAATATAAAATTAACTATAAACCTTGAAATCAGAAAAGCAAAAATTCTAAATCCTAAGTGACAAAACTCATTGAAATATAAATATAGAATCAGAAAGTCTCTGTAGAGACACACAGATAATAGCATAAAGCAGGGAAAGGGGTAGGTTGAGGTAAGTAATTCTCTAGCCTGCAGTCTGCCCTCTAGCAGGTCAACCAGAGCTTTCCACAGGGCTACACTCAGTGCCCTACGAGACCCAGGCAGCAAGCAGGATGCACCTCTGATCTCACTCCAGATGGTGCCATTTCTTCTGCCGTGTAGAAACACGAGTCCTTAGTGYCTACTTATCCTGGGGTTTTCTGTGTTGAGTTACAAATACCTGCAAGGCAGAGAACCAACCARTCTCATTCAACTCACCTAGTGCAATATCGCACACAAAGCTCTGGATACATAGATTTTAATTAGTATGGTTTGCTACCATTTCCCTCAATTTCACAACTTAAACATCCTTGAGGTCATGCTTAGAGAAATAAAAATGTGTTTTCAATGTATTTTATTCTGTTTACCACTTCTAAGAATTTGGTTGAATGCCTGACTTTATGACATAGTTAGGAAGAGGGAATCTCACTAAAATATTCTTTAGAGAAGCACCAAGTCTAAGATTACTACCTGTTCATTATACTGAAGCTTCTGACCCAGAGTTTCTTTGGGTTAGGGAGGCAACCATCCTGAGGGACTTTATTGACATTACCATCTGCCCTTCTTCATCCAGGGAGCATTTGTTCAGCTGCCATGTTTTTGCAGTTAACTTCATGCTGCTGTTTCTCGCAGTGCCAGAGCATCTGGTGTGGCACTCGGGCACTGTCCTTTTCTAAACACTGTTCAACTGGAAAGAAAATATCATACATCCTCTCTCCTCCACTTCCCATTTTCTTTCTCCTCCTGAAATTATAGCCTTGTACAAGAGAGTATGAAGGGAGCTATTCCATGGAGAATTGATTCAAAGGGCCTGCCTGAGCTTGCCTTTAAAATTACATCTATTAAATACAATGTTCTGTTCCAGTTATTCAGAACTTTTTCCAAAAGGTAGAGCATGTCTCTTGCTGTGAAAATTGTGTACATTAAAATCATATTGTTGAATTTTATATGCTTATAAGATTGAACAATCAACTTTTTGTCTAGACTGGTCTTGGGGAGGGTGTGGCTCTTAAGGACTTTCAAAGAAGATGGACTACCTGAAATCCTAGGCTAACAGAGCAAGTCGGGGAAGAAAACAGCTCTTCGATAGGCTCAGGACTAGTACATAAACCTAATCCAAGAAGTTAAATAATAGAAATTAAAATCTCAAAAAGCTAAAGATGTTCACACTAATCACACTCAGTTTCTTTCTCTGAACTATTATTTGCAGTTATAAATTGACCTTCATTCATGAATATGTCCACAACATGTGACAACGACATGACACTACAAGACAAGCCACAGCTTCTCCTTAGTGAGTCCCTTCTTCGCACAGCCTCACCCAGTGTTCAGGTGGAAAGTGTATTCATTCCCAGCTCCATCCCAAGTAAATGGCTTACACGTATTATGTGTATTCAATGACTCCATATATATTAGATGTCAGCTATCATCTCCACTTAACACAGAAGTAGCGAGAGCGGTTCTCTACATGTTACTTCTGTACATGGTGCCCTGATTGACAATGTCATTTTATACATAGTGGGAATGCTTTTTGCATTATATTTTCCTCACTTCATCTAAAGAAAAAAATCTTCATCCTCCCAGATATAACCACACTTTGCATCTGAGTCCAAATTTTAGTCCTTCATAATGGTCTTTGGATAATACAAGAGTAGAAGTTATTTACATACAAATTTAGAAYTGATAAGAAATGTTATATGTTGACAAATCATCATCTGAATACAGTCCAGATCCAATAAGTGGTTATTATTATCTAATATTTCATATATTCCAAATATAATTTGAACAGGTTTTCACCTTTAGTCATTTAATCTTGAAGTACTTTTATTAGACTGAGACAAAATCTTTGAGAAAAGCAAATATTTTTCTTTCAATAACAACATAGAAATAAAAATRTTATTGTATACTGGTGCTTCTAAAACTCAGTGTCTAACAAAGTTATTTTAAATGATTATTCAAACTAAGTAAGCTTTCCTATATGAAAATTCTGAACTATTTAGTTTTTATTACATTTATAAACTCAATATATAATAAAGAAGTGTTTCTTCACAAACCTCTCCAAAGCAGACATATAACAAATATAATCATGCTATCCTTATTCCTACTGGTCCTCAAATAGTTGACACAGAATAATAAAGAGGTTTGCTGTCAGCATTTTGATAAATAACATTTTAATTATTAGCTTCATACCTCCTGCAGAAGGTCCCCTTCATCATTCATCTCAACACTTTTTTATTTAAGCCAGCTTTGGAAACCACAATATTTGCAACAAATGTTTTCAACATGTATTTATATGTATACCTCTAACAAAGCCTGCAGATGATGAATTCCACAGAGGCTCTTTCCAGAGGGATCTAGCAGGTAATAAAAGATAAAAAAACATCAGACTCTGATGTGTCATGCCCTAGGCACGTATGCTAGAAAGGCTCTAGAAGAGTCAAATGACAAATGCTCATTTATGCCTGACTCCCTGCAAACAAAGGACATACAAAGCTTAAATTTGTGTTGACTGACTTTTTACCTCCAACATACTGAATTTTGTTATGCAACAATTGTATTCTGGAATGAAATCTATTATTGTACTCAGATGATGAAACATTTGTTAGGCAACCATTCTATCAAAGCCCACAGACAAAAATACAAGTGGAAAAATACGCTATAAGTGACCCAGATACTTTACCAAGGGCAAACATCTACTCATTTGTAATTTCCAATTTTCATTTGTGGGTCCCTCCAGCCTCAAAATTAATTCTGGTCCTTCAGTCTATAAATGTAGCCATCTTTCTTTCGCTTGTTCTCCAAATGTCAGTCTCCGACAAATCCCAGCCCACCCCAGCAGGTTCAGAATGAACAGGGGCTCATCTACAAGCTGTCCTATAGAATTCTGAACACAATTCTAACTCAGAGGAAATAGGGAATGCTTCCTCTTCACTAGTAAAGGGAGTTTGAAATGGTACTTCTGCTCCCTCAACTGTGACTAYAAGTACAATTGGGGGAAGGGAGCAAGGACAAGAACTTTCTTCTGAATCAAACCCAATGCCCTCTAAGCATTTTCCATGAATGAGTGTCCAGTCTCCATGGCTGACACTTCTATCCAGGTCTTCTGGGTCTCAAGAGGTCCAGGCCCACACTCCAACCAGTCAGTACTAACTCTCTTGGCCCATTGCAAAACTCCATTTCCTAAGGGCAGAGAAAGTTGTTCTCATTTCCTTCATGTTGGCTCTGTGGTCTGCCTTGGGTTTAGGCCTAGTTCTGATGCTGATGCACACTTGGAACTGCATTCTTAACATARCTGTTGCGGACTCTCAGACCTCCCCAAGAAAAGGACCGTATCAAACATCACAGTGTTTGACACACTCTGACTGCTTTTCTGCAGCTCTCAGGGTGTCTAATTTTCACAATGCCCTGTACCCGAACCTCATCTGGGTTTTTGTCAGTCCTCTTCCGAGAACTGTGTGCCTCCACTCTTCAAACTATTTCCACATGCAAAATAGATACAACTGTTCTATGGAAAAAGAAACCATTGTGTAAAGAATTCTGAAATGCTTCTCTGTGTCAGAGCAATGCTCAGGGTAAGTTACATAAGGACATGTTAAGAACAAAATCCAGCCAGGTGCAGTGGCACATGCCTCTTATCCCAGGGGCTCTGGAGACCTAAGGCAGGAGATTTATGAGTTCAAAGCTAGCCTCAGCAAAAACAAGGTGTTAAGCAATTCAGTGAGACCCTATTTCTAAATAAAATACAAAATAGGGCTGGGGATGTGGCTCAGTGGTACAGTGTTCCTGAGTTCAATCCCTGATACCCCCCGCCCCAATAAAGAGATCAATATCCTTTCTTTATAGCATCACCTCAGATTTTTTTCCTCTGGGAATTTTATTTTTAGCTTGTTTCATTGTTCTTCCTTGCCTTATTTGATAATCTCATCTTATCAATGTGTATCCATGAGCTTCTCCTATTTCTTGGGGCCATGGTCTTGTATCAATGTATTGATACAACTTATGGTTGTATTTTTGTTTAAAACAAAATGTATCCTGCTTGTGTTAGATTTGCATCACTGTGACCAAAATACCTGACAAGAACAACTTAGAGGAGGAAAGTTTATTTTGGTTTACAATTTTAGAGATTAAGTTCATTGTCAGCCAACTCCAATGCCCTGCCCCAAAGTGAGGCACCACATTATGGCAAAAGGGCATGGTAGAAGAGCACTAGTTGGTTCATGGCATCCAGGAAGCAAAGAGAGGGGGGAAGGGGTTGAAGGGAAGATGAACCCTTCAACAGCTTGCCCCCAATRACTCACCTCCTCCATCCATGTCCTACTTGCTTATAGTTATCATCCAGCTCATTCAAACGAGGATGGACTGATTAAGTTACATCTATCACAGTCCAATCATTTCATTTCCAAACAGTCTTGCATTAATCTGGGAAGTTTGAGGGGACATTTTATATCCAAATATCCATAATATCCCTTCAAACAAATTTGCATGTAGCATTTTAAGAAAACCCAACATAGGGTTTTGTTCCTTGAAAATATTTTCTTCTACAATTGCACCGTCATTATTTTATTGTTTTCTTCCAGTCTTTGTCTTTCTAGTCATTTATCTTTGTTTCTCTTTTGACTTAATGAATTTCAATGTCTTCTCAGTTTACCCTGTATGTCTCTTTCTTTTYTTTCTTTATTCCTTTTTGTGATGCTGTGTCTCTTTCTAATCAAATCACAATAGAGAATTCAAATATACTTTAGAACAGTTGCTATATTACTAATGAATTTTATTCTCTATTCTTAGTTTCAAAACTAGATATTTGAAAAGTTTTCCCTTTCTTTCTTAGAACTTTAAGTACTAAATTATACTTATTTACCCTTGACATAGTTGGATTTTTCAAATTTCATTCAAATTCAAGTACCAATTCTCTTCATAATTTTTAATGACATGACTCATCTATTTATGTTATAAAATAAAGATGAAAAAAGTCATATCTGATGTTTCCAGATAATCATTGTTATTTATATAACACATGATAATTTAAATAATGCTAKTTGCATCCATAACGACACCCTCTTTCTTTAGCCTTCCATAAAATAATTAGACCTAATTCTAACATTCAAGATAATAGAAGTATCATAAAACATGGAGATTTCATGTTTAAATATTTCACATTTATGTCAAGGAAATCAGATAAACAATTAGATCTTAGTAAATTGTTAGAACTTATTTATTCCTTATTTGTAAGAGTTTTCACATCACACACAAAGCAGTCTTAGCCTCACAATAATGCCATAAGATACATGTTACAAGTTAGAAATTTTAATACAGAGATTCTCATTCCCAATGATAACTTCCTCACTGATCATCTTTCCAATTCTTTTATACTCAATGGATCTCCACCCTAACATTTAACCTGGTGAGTTGTATTCAGTTCCTTCCTCATCATAGTCAGACTCTGTTTTCACTTTAAACCTCAAGATTAGCTATCTTAATCAACACCCAACTTACACTTCTTTCACTAGTGTGGTTGTATAATTTTCAACAGCAAGTTGTATTTATTATCAAAATTGTTTATCCTAGATTCACTGGTTATTGAAAATGTGCCATTTAATTAAATATTATGTAAGCCAA